GTGTGTGTGTGTGTGTGTGTGTGTGTGTGTGTGTGTGTGTGTGTGTGTGTAGAAAGTGAACAAAAACAGAATGTGGTTGCCAAAATCTCTAGTACCTACTTATATTACAGCTCCTCAGCAGTAAATATTTACACCTTAGTTTGATTTTACAGATTTTATTTAGAACGTTTTAAAGGCCTGAAATCAAAATCAAGCAAATTTTACTAATAAAAAAAAAGTCCACAATAAAATGATTAAATAATAATAATAATTTTAAAAGGGATCAAAAAGAACAGTAAATAATACAAATTGAAATACTAAAAGTAAAAGAGATGCACTTGGAGAAATTTAAAAAAATATATGTTGCTGGTTATTTTTGGAGTTTGGGGGACAAGAAAGCTCTGTCGCCTGTACGAGCCAGTTGGGAATTCTGAATTACTAGAAGGTGCTGATCGACAGACCTAAGTGAGAGGCATAGGACAACTAAAGGATTTGATAGTTAACGTAGGCGAGCCCGTGTAAACACTTACACGCAAGCAACAATATTTTTAAAATGAATCCTGTACTTCCCAGGAAACCAGTGTAATAGTTTAAGAATGGGTGACGCTTCCGTGTATCTTTCAGGAGTCTAGCAGCTGCAGTCTGAACCAGCTGCAGACATGTTTTAAGTGTTTTGCTCAACCCAACATATAATAACTTGTAGTAATCCAATCTAGATGTAATGGATTACATCTAGATTGGATTACTTTATCAAGGTCATGAAAAGAAAGAAGTTTTTAACTATATTTAATATCTTAATTGAAGAAAGCTGGCTATAACAACTGCTGTGATCTGTCTAATTAAGGAGATGAATCAAAGATAACACCCAGACTTTAAACCTGAGGTTTAAGAAATGAGTCTCAAGATCTAAAGGGATAGTGAAAAATGTAACTGGCTGCTTATTCGCTGGAGGACTCACCAAAATTTCAGTTTTACTATCACAGGGTTGAGCGCTGTTTATTAAAACCACATTCTAACCTCAGCAGAGGAGTTGGAGACGGGTTTAAGAGGGAGGTAAATCTGGGTTTCATCTGCAAAAAAGTAGTAAGGAACATGATGGGTTTTTTAAAAAAATAAACCCAAAAGGTGTGTGTACAACTGAAGTGGACCAAGAATGGAACCTTGAGGTACACCACTGGTTAAGGGGGTAGTTTTAGAAGAATAACTGCCAATGCTAATGGAAAACCACCTACAACTCAAATAAGACTTAAAGCAGTTCAAAGCCATCCCACAAATAACAACACAATGAGTGTTCAAGATGTTGTAGTCCACCGTATCAAACACAGTGGTAAGATCCAGTAATATACGTACAGCATTAACTAGCATCAACAATAAACAGGAGATCACTGAAAACTCTTAACAGAGCAGATGCGATGAATTTGACTGAAAAACCTCACCAATATCATTGGTGCGTAAAACAGACGGCAGCAACAACTAGCTTAATTAGTATTTATGCTAACTAGGCTATATTCAGGGCTTCGTCTTCATATTTAGCAAACAAAATTTAACTTGGTAATTGGATTTTTTAATCAAAATTGAATAAGGAAGATCTATCCTCTCAAAATCCTTATGGTAATACTGGTTATTTTCCATCTTCAACTAATTCAAATTCACCAGTCTTATCCATCAGTCGTCCTACCCGCATCTTCAAGCCAGTCAACCCAGTCCCTGTTCTTTAGAATCATTATTTAAACTCCTTCCCATCACCTCCTCATCCAGGTTATTCGGTCTACTTAAAGGTATCTGCTCACTCAGCTCTCCACCCGGCCCCTAGTTCAAGTTCAGCTGGCATCTCATCAACACAATATATAGGCACTGTGGATGAGCATTGAGGCATTGATTATATGATTTATCCAAAATAATAGCTTAGATCGGCTTGTATAGATTAGCTATAGGGTGTAACCCTTCATTTTTCTAAGCAAGTCCCCAAAATTGCCCAGTATAATCCAGCAAACATAGACAGCAGGTAGACCAGTCAGAATGTAAACATTCTGGTCTTGTATCATCCTCCAATCACTAAAGGCTTCAGCATTCAGCAGGTCTGCATCTCACCTGCAGTGTGTGTGCTCAGACAGCACTCACTGAAGTGACAACCACTGCCACTTTAGTGTAACAGAGCTTAGATAGCGGAAAGGAACAGACATGCATTAGCTCCTGCAGATACCTGACTGCCAACCCCCCTCCTCCACCCCTTCCTCCTCCTGCAAAAACACGGGATGCATAGTGGGGGTGAGGGAGGGCTTTTAGATGTTGTGTTGTGATCAATAATACAAATTCCACTACACAATCCGATACTGTAAACAACCTAAAATGCTTACAATCAATGATATTGTTGCTTGCTAGAGATCAATGACATTAGAAAATGTACATACAACATAGAGAAGAAATCACAGTTTTGTTTTCAGTGTGAACGCTGCTGTATGGCATTGGCCTAATGATGCACTGCATGCACACATCATAGCGGCACACACAGTAACGGAGCCTGGTCGGTCAGGGTGCAGGTGAGGATAAACGGTCAGCCCGGGTTTAATTCGCTACTCACCTTTCAGTTGATACACATATGGAGACTGTGAAGTCCGCCCTGTCGGCCCAGGCTGCTACTGGTAAACACACAGGGAGGTGTGAGCACATACTAAGACCAGGTGAGCCCAGAGAAACGTCTGATATCGGTGTCCAGCGAGAAGCCTCCGACCAGCGTCGGTGGATGTAGTGTCGAGCATCCTGCAGCCTCCTCCGGCTCTGCGTCCTATTGTCTCCGCATCGCTCTGTCCTCTAGGATGGGAGGAGAGCAGAGGCAGGGGAGGAGAGACAAAGCCCTCCCCCTCCTCGCTGGCCCGGCCAATCGCAGCGCTGCTCCGCTGGGAGCCGCCGCTGCTCGCTGTCTCCATACAGACTATGGTACATTCAGGGATGATGGGAAATCCAACTTCTTCCAAATACAGTCAAATAAATAAATATGTTACCAACAGATAGCTTGAACTGGATATTGGCTATTTTTAATAATAGCTAAAAAAAACAAAAACATTATTGTTATATTATTATTATATTTGCTTTTACATAATTTTCTCTGGGATTAATAAAGCATTCTGATTCTGACTCGTAAACGTTTACGTAAACAGACTTTGCTGTGTATGTTTTTATAAAATGTCTTTAGGCAATGTCATTTGAGGCAGTGTTGGTTAGTACAAAGATATATTAAGGCTTTTGTGCCAAGAATAAACACATAAATCAATGGAGTGGTCTGTCCCAGCTATCACGGCCGAGAGGCAGGGTGCACCCACACATAAAGACAGACAACAATTCACACTTTATCCCAAACCCATATATGTCTTTGGACTGTGAGCGGAAGCTGGTGTACCGAGAGTGGCCCCACACAACCCCCTATGAATAAGCACTTGGTGACAATGGGAAGGAAAAACTCACTTTTAACAGGAAGCAACCTCCACCAGAACCAGGCTCAGGGCGGGACGGCCTGGTTCTGGTGGAAGGAAGAAGAAAGGACAAAAGACACAAGAGAGCTAGAGATGAATAAAAACTAACAATTAAATATTGCGTGATGTATAAACACATAGCAAGTGTAAAAAGGGTGAAAAAGAAACATTCAGTGTGTCATGAGAAACCTCCAGCAGCATAGAGCTATTGATGTGTAACTAAGGGAGGATTCAAGGTCACCTGATCCATCCATAACTGTAAGCTTTATCAAAATGGAAAATTTAAGCCTAATCTTAAAAGTAGGGCGAGGGTGAGAGGGTTCCTGTCTCCTGAATCCAAACTGGGAGCTGGTTTCACAGAAGTGGGGCCTGAGAGCAGAAGGCTCTGCCTCCCATTCTACTTTTAAATACCCTAGGAACCAAAGGTAAGGGAGCAGTCTGAGAGTGAATTGCTCTTCTGGGGTGATATGTTACTGTGAGGTAAAGATGGGCCTGATTATTCAAGACTTTGTATGTGAGGAGAAAGATTGTAAAATTGTTACATTTAAATCACTTGGAGACAGAATGTTTCTAATTTTAGAGATAGTGTGTATCACACAATGGAAATTTGTATTTGTCTTTTATAACTGGTATTATTTGTGAGCATAGATCTTTTTTGGATTATATTGGACATTTTTAGTGTTTTTGTATGATATTTTTTTTAATCCACTGCGGCCTACTAGCTGTCAAATGGACTTGATAAAGAAGAGGGTAGGCCCAGATATGAAAAGGAAGGAATGCGTGGAAGCCAAGCATGTGAAGGAAGGACCTGTCGCCCGATTGTCAGGTGAGACGGCTCGTGTGAGGATGCCGACCCAGTCCTGACAGCAGAAATGGCGACAGTGGGAAATAACGCATGTGATCGACAGCAGGGCAGAGGTGCACAGCTCGAGGGTGGAGCACAAGCTGAGCTGTGAATGGACGAGCCTGGTGGAGGGACGAGACGGAGATGGGAGGCTTCTTCTTGTCCTCCTGGGACCAGGTTGCCGTGGTCCCTGCTCTGAAGTGAAATTGCTCAGCTGTTTTCAAACACGAGGAACATTCGCCTTGGCTTTGTAGGACAATGCATCGCGGGACTGTGGGGGATTTTAGTGCACAAAAAACTGGCTCACATAAAGACATCCCCAGGAAAGGAAGACCACGAGTCACCTCTGCTGTTGAGCCGACTCATCCGAGTCACCAACCTCAGAAATTGCAAGTCAGCGACCAGATAAATGCCACACAGAGTTCCAGTAGCAGACACATCTTTACATCAACTGTTCAGAGGAGACCGCATGAATCAGATCTTTATGGTCATATAGCTGCTAAGAAACCACTACTGCTTGTTGCTAAGGAAAAGCAACAAGCGAACAGATTTGTTTGGGCCAAGAAACATAAGGAATGGAGATTAGACCAGTGGAAATCTGTGCTTTGGTCTGATGAATCCAAATTTGAGATCATCGGTTCCACCCGCCGTGTCTTTGTGCGACACAGAAAAGGTGACCGGATGGTCTCTACATCCATGGTTCCCACTGTGAAGCATGGAGGAGGAGGTGTGATGGTGTGGGGGTGCTTTGGTGGTGACGCTGTTGGGGATTTATTCACAACTGTGGTGTGCAAGATGGCCTGGCCTCCAGAGTCACCTGACCTAAACCCAGTCGAGATGGTTTGGGGTGAAGAGAGAAGGCAAAAGGGCCAACAAGTCCTCAGAATCTCTGGGAACTCCTTCAGAACTAATGGAAAACCATGAAGCTCATTGAGAGAATGTCAAAAGTGTGCAAAGCAGTAATCAAAGCAAAGAGCGGCTATTTTCAAGAGTCTAAAATATAAAATTCTGCATTATTCCATATGTGTTCGTTCGTGGTTTTGATGCCTTTAGTGAAAATATACAATGTAAATAGTCATGAAAATAAAGAAAATCTTAAATGAGAAGGTGTGTCCAACTTTTGACTGGTAGTGTAGATCCAGGAAATTATAGGTCATCCAGGTCTTTAGTGTCTCATTCCTGCAGTTTAATTAATTGTGTCATCTGGCTTCATGGATATAGCTGGGCATCATCTGCATAGCAGTGAAAATGTATGAAATGCCTTCAAAGGATACTGCCCAGATAGAAAAACAGAAAGGCTTGTTTCCATTGTGAGACTTAAAAGGCGACTTCTGTGTGTCCAAAAGTAAAGTGTTAACAACTTTTTATCATTTAACTTAGCAGCTACTGGCACGTCTTCCGTGGTGGAAGCAGAGTCTGGGGACAAAGGGGATGACCCACCAATCTCTGGGGGCGAGGTCACCGAGGCAGTTAAACAACCCCTTGGTGGCAGAGCCCCTGGGGTGGACGAGGTCCACCCCGAGTTCCTGAAGGCTCTGGATGTTGTAGGGCTGTCTTGGTTGACACGTCTCTACAATGTTGCGTGGAGATCAGGGGCAGTAACCCTGGACTGGCAGGCCGGGGTGGTGGTCCCCATCTTTAAGAAAGGGTGTTTTCCAACTACAGGGGAATCACACTCCTCAGCTTCCCTAGGAAAGTCTATGCCAGGGTGCTGGAGAGGAGTGTTCGTCCGTTAGTCGAACCTAGTGGTGAGCGGTGGTCTCAGGATTTCATCTCTGCTTTTTGCAGATGATGTGGTTCTGTTGGCTTCTTCGGGTGATGGCCTCCAGCTCGCCTTGGAACATTTCGCAGCCTAGTGTGAAGCGGTGGGAATGAGAATTAGCACCTCCAAATCTGAGGCCATGGTCCTCAGTTGGAAAAGGGTGGAGTGCCCACTCTGGGTTGGGGACGAGTTCCTGCCCCGAGTGGAGGAGTTTAAGTATCTCTGGGTCTTGTTCACAAGTGACGGGAGAAGGGAGCGAGTGTTGTGGTGAAGAGAGAGCTGAGTGTAAAAGTGAAGCTCTCAGTTTACCGGTCGATCTACCTCCCTGTTCTCAACTATGGTCACGAGCTGTGGGTAGTGACCGAAAGAACGAGATCGCTGATACAAGCAGCGGAAATGAGCTTTCTCCGAAGTGTGGCTGGCCTCTCCCTTAGAGATAGGGTGAGAAGTTCGGCCATTCGGGAGGGGCTCAGAGTAGAGCAGCTGCTGCTCCACATCGAAAGGAGCCAGCTGAGGTGGTTCGGGCACCTGACAAGGATGCCCCCTGGGCGCCTCCTGGGTGACATTTCCGGGCATGCCCCACGGGGAGGAGGCCCCGGGGCAGACCCAGGAAACGCTGGAGAGATTATATCCTGGGAACGCCTTGGTATTCCCCCGGACAAGCTGGAAGAAATGGCTGGGGAGAGGGAGGTCTGGGCTTCTCTGCTTGGGCTGCTGCCCCCGCGACCCGGCCCCACATAAGCGGAAGAAAATGGATGGAACTTAGCAGCTGACTAGTGAAACCCTTAACCCAGTTCTTAGATCAGGGCCCCGGGTTATGAGCTGTTCTGATCAATATTTGTAGGGACTTAAAGCATTGCTTTGTTATTACATTTTTCTAACTCAAAGTTTCCCCGTGGAATTATTTTCAGTCTAAAACAAAGATGTAAATAATCACACCACAGGGGAAGTCTGGTCACATACCTTTTTCGCCATAAGAATAAAAATATTGCCCTTTTTAATTCTTTAAAAAATTAGGTTGGTACCTATAAGAGAATACAGTGAAAGTACACGTGGATACATTTAGGTAAAAGATTCATTTTAATTGTGTTAACTCTACCAATTAAGGAGAGAAGAAAATCCAGCCACCTCTGCAGCTCTGCTTTAGATTTATGAATTAATGACATATAATTCTCTTGGTAGATTCTGTCAAGTGAGGAACAAGCAGTTATACCGAGGTATCTGAAACTACCCAGGCAGTATCTGATCTGTTCTGTCATGTTAATTGGAAATGCTTCACTCTTAGTGTAATTAATTTTAGAGCCCGAAACTGCACTGTATGATTTGAGGCGTGCAAGAAAAAAATGGAAAGGAATTGTTCAGTTGAGCTATAAATACTAATAGATCATCTGCATAAAGTCCAGTTTATGCTCCTCGTGCCTATTTTTAAGCCTGTAATGGAGAATTTTGAACAAATAGCAATGGCTAATGTAGGGTTTTTTATGAGAGAGAAGACAAATATGCTCCTATTATAAGTTTTCCCAATTTATAAACAAAACGGTTAGAATTTCAAACTAGTTTTTACATGGCACCATGGACCTCCTCTCTCTGGCTCAGAGACAAAAGGTGCCACGCCTAGGAAGTGAACACTTTTCATTTTGTGTGATAAACAGGATACTAAGGTGATTGGTCAAAACAGTTTAGGGTGGACTTAGGTCTGATGTTGGCTCACGTTTCTTCTTCCGCAACTTTCTTGGCATCTCCTTACTTGGAGATGCCTCTTCAACCATTACCATGGCAACCACCT